GAACATTCAATGACAAAAAGACACTGTAACAAAATAAAAGGTCAAGTCAAGAATTTTCAAGCATAAAGTTCACAGTTCTGACAATGTAACAAAATTTAAGGAGAATTGTTCACATGAGCCCTTTCTGGGGAACCTGCTAGAAGACGTCCAAGAAACGACAGTGGAAAGAATTGGCAATGAGTACAATTCCAGGACAAAGGTGAAACAATGAACTGTAGGAATGGTACAATTTATAAAAATGAGAAGAGGCAAGAGATGAAAAGTAAAAATTCTCGGCCTCATCTGTCATGGGGGGGTGGTCAATGATGACAAAACAAGTCGTAGAACTTTACATACTTAAGAGTATAAAAGTAAACCCAAAGAAAGAAAGTACTACTAACATTAGGTAATGGGGGAGGGGAAGAAGATGTAAGTTACTCATAGTAGGAAATCAATAGACTATAGAAAGCAGGGACTAAGGTTGTTTTATAAAGTAATAGGCTTGATCATCAGAACAAAAATATAAACTTTACTAAGTATCAGAACGACTTAAAAAAAAAAAGCACAGCCTAAGCAACAGCAAGACCCTGTCTTTATTAAAAATAGAAAAATTAGCTGGGCATGGTGGTATGCACCTATAGTCCCAGCTACACGGGAGGCTGAGTTGGGAGGATGGCTTGAGCCCAGGAGTTTGAGGTTGCAGTGAGCTATGGTAACGCCACCGCACTCTAGCCAGGGTGAGAGAGCAAGACTCTGTCTCAAAAAAAAAAAAGCAGCAAAGGCAAATAGAGATGAATGTAGAGACTATGTAGATTTCCTTTATTATAACAGGTTCGGCTTATCTATCTATCTAATCTACCTATCTCATCTATCGATCTATCTGCCTACCTACCTATTTTCCCAACAGCCTTCCAGGCGTGGGCAACCTGCAGCCTCAAGGCCCACATGTGGCCCTCCAGGTCCCTTGATGGAATCCAAACTTCACAGAACAAATCCCTTTATTAAAAGTCTTGGCCTTTAACAGGGCCAGCTCCCCAAAAGTGGCTAGAAATATGACTGGTCTTGAAGAAGGAAAAACAGACTTTCTAGATACTTTAATGATTTCTAACATGCCACACTCTCAAATCCAGGGTACAAAAGTGTTTATGAATAATGAGAAATAAATCACAGCCACTCATGCAAATTGTCATTGACAAATTTTATTAAATCTGCTTTAAGTGTCCAATTACTACTTTGTTATAAGCAAGGCTGAATATCTTATATTTACAAATGAATGGACCTGCTATTAAAGTCCAACAGCCAGTTTCCTGAACCATAAAATTCAATAAAAATCACTGATGCTTCAGAAGTATAAGACATTAACATTTACTTCTTTATGCTCTCTTCCTTACTAAGGCAGAGAGCTCATTGCTAAAAGCAGATTGTCAGCCTGTGATTATTTAGTTAACATGTATACTATACTGACTTGTTTTCCAATATTTCTGATACCAACCAAAGTACATTAATTTTTCCCAGCAAGAGGGGAGGAAGAGGGAAGGGAAAAAAAAAAAGAAAAAAACATTTTTCCCACCAAAATGTGAACTTCAGTCAGGGGCTTTGTTTGGTTCACTACTCTGGCCCAAGTACCTAGAAATGTCTGGCACATAGATGCTAAACTGTTATTTGTTGAATAAATAAATAGATTTCAATTAACAGTTTACTTGTTTTATTAAAAACATTCTAGTCCTGGAACCCTTTAAGATAACAGTAAATAAGTTCAGGTTTCTTCATTTCATATGGATGAGTTTCCCAACAAAATTCCCTATAGTGCCTCTAGGGTTGAAGCTGGTAACTGAATATACTTGCAAAATCCAGGGCTCATTCTGCATCCACCATCTGCCAACATTTGAGTTTTTATGCATTGTTAAATGGAACATTCTCTTGTTGCACATAAGTACACTGTTGTCTCAACATCAAGCTGGGACTCAGATTTCTTACCTATTCTTGTTAAACTGGATTGCAAAGTCCGTCATATGCTGCAGAGCTTTGTTGGTGAAGTTCATTTCCATATAGATGTGTCCTTGGCGGTGAGTAAATGTTCCTGAAATCTCTAAGCCTTTAGCCTTTACTGCAGGTAGCCAGACCTGAAACACAATATAAATCTCAATAGAACCAGATAAGATTTAGCTCAATGATATTTATTTTTTAACAAAGATGAAATTAAGATTTCACTTTAGGCAATTATGGTGATTTTTATACTATAAATGTCAAGTTAATGCAAAAGGCTCTGGATAAAGTCTTTCTGAATTCTGAGATCATCCTCAATTATTTAAGAAGCAAAAAAAACAGTCTACAGGCAACCTTGGTTGCTTCTCTATCTTCTGTTCAATTCAATCATTTTACTGTTTTTGAATACTGCTACCAGATGTGTATGTGTATACACACATACACAGGAAAGAGAAATCTCAATGAGTATAATGTGTTTTTCTGTTAGTTTTGGTAAAATGTTTAAAGAGAAGAAACTGAATCCACTAATGAAAACAGCATGCCTGTTACCTTTGAAGACTTTTTCATCATAATCATCCAAAGCTATTATCAGTAATCTCCTTAAAGGCGTGGACCACGTTTAATCTATATTTTTAACTCCTGCTATAATTTCTGGTAAATAGTAAATATTCATATGTTGCTTAAATATTCTGAATGCCTATTTTCTCTATCTAATTCATTACCCACTCCTGGTCCCAGAACCTTTGATACTCCTGGCCTATACCAGTAAAAAAAAAAAAAAAAAAAAAAAATCAGGAAATTCATGAATGTTATGACCACCCAAGACAGAATACCAAAGAGCCTTTGGGTGGTAAATAATCATGATAATACACTCAGCCACACTAAAAGGTGAGGCAAGGACCAGGGAGTACCCCGACAGAGGAATAATTATAGGTATATGCATGATCTTTCCTTTTTCTTTTGAAAGGACATATGAGAAAGTTAACAGGGGCTATATATGGGGAAGTAGGGGCAGGGTGACACAATTTTCCAGCTTATATTTCTATATTATTTAAATTTGTATGTATTACTTTTATATTAGTAAATGAGTACATTAGATAATCTTTTAATTAATAATTAAAACTCTGTGAGGATAATATTCGAAACCTTATAACAAAGCTATTGAGTTGTGTCAAAACACTATGGCTTGGCCGGGCGCGGTGGCTCACGCCTGTAATCCTAGCACTCTGGGAGGCCGAGGCGGG